ACAATATTGAATAAGAGTGGTGATAATGGGCATCCTTGTCTCCTTCCTGTTCTCAAGGGGAATGCGTTCAATCTCTCTCTGTTGAGAATAATGTTGCTGTTGGTTTTGTGTATTTGCCCTTAATTATGTTGAGGAATTTCCCTTCTATTCCTATTTTGCTGAGAGTTTTTATCAGGAAAGGTGTTGGAATTTATCAGATGCCTTTTCTACATTAATTGAGATGATTATGTGATTCTTTTCCTTTATTTTATTTATGTGGTGAATTATGTTGATTGATTTTCTAATGTTGAACCACCCTTGCATCTCTGGTATGAAAGTGGCCAGATCGTGATATATTATTTTTTTGATATGCTGTCGTATTCTGTTGGCTAGAATTTTGTTGAGAATTTTTGTGTCTATATTCATGAGGGATACTGGTCTGTAATTTTCTTTTTTGTGTGTGTTGTCTTTGCCTGGCTTTGGTATCAAGGTTATGCTGGCTTCATAGAATGAATTAGGGAGTATTCCTTCCTTTTCTATGTCCTGGAATAGTTTGAGTAGAATTGGTGTCAATTCTTCTCTGAATGTTTGGTAGAACTCTCCAGTGAAGCCATCTGTCGGGGGCTTTTTTTGTTGTTGAGAGTTTTTTTTAACGCGGTCTTCTGTTTCTTCTTTTGTTATGTGTCTATTTCGGTTTTCTACCTCTGTTTGTGTTAGTTTAGGTAGATAGTGTGTTTCTAGAAATTTGTCCATTTCTTCTAGGTTTTCAAATTTGTTAGAAAACAAGTTTTCATAATATTCTGTAATAATCCTCTTTATCTCAGTTGGTTCTGTTGTAATGTCACCCATTTCGTTTCTTAGTTTGGTTATTTGTGTCTTCTCATTTTTTTCCTTTGTCGGTTTGGCCTGTGGCTTGTCAATTTTATTGAGCCTCTCAAAGAACCAATTCCTAGTTTTGTTGACTCTATTGTTTTTTGTTTTTTTTCTATTTCATTTATTTCTGCTCTGATCTTTATTATTTCCTTTCTTTTGGTGACTGGACTTCTTTTCTATTTGTTCAAGTTGTCAGTCTGAGATATTGATTTTTGGATCCTTCTTCTTTTTTGATGTGGGCATTTATTTTCAGAAATTTTCCTGTGAACCCTGCTTTGACTCTGTGCCAGAGGTTTTGATATGTTGTGTCTTCATTCTCATTTGATTCTAAGAATGTTTTAATTTCATTTTTAATTTCTTCTATGACCCAGTAGGTTTTAAGTAAGTTGGAATTGACTCAATGGCAACAGGTTTGGTTTTTGTTTGGTTATTCAGTTTTCATGTATTTAATTTTTTTCCTTGCTCTTTCTGTTATTGATTTCTAGTTTTATAGTGTTATTGTCATAGAAGATGCTTTGTATTATCTCGACATTTTTGAATTTATTGAGGCTTGCTTTGTGACCTAGAATATGGTCTATTCTGGAGAATGATCCATGTGTGTTGTAGAAGAATATGTACAGTGCTGCTCTTGGGTGGTGTGTTCTGTATATGTCTGTGAGGTCAAGTTGGTTGACTGTGTTATTGAAATCTTCTGTATCTTTAGCTTCTTTCTAGTTGTTCCATCCATCATCGAAAGTGTGTGTTAAAGTCTCCTACTATTATTGTAGAACTGTCTATTTCTCTTTTCAATTCTGTTAGAGTTTGTTTTATGTATTTTTGAGCTCTATCATTGGGTGAATAAATATTTATTATTGTTATGTCTTCTTGGTGAATTGACCCTTTAATTATTATATAATGCCCTTCTGTATCTCTTATAATGGATTTTGACTTAAAGTCTATTTTATCCAATATTATTATTGCTACTCCTGCTCTCTTTTGGATACTTTTGCTTGATATATTTTTTTCCATTCTTTGACTTTTAACTTATATTTTGTGTCTAAAGTGTGTGTCTTGTAAGCAACATATTGATAAGTCTTGTTTTTTTATCCATTCTGCCCCTCTCTTTCTCTGACTGGTATAGTTAATCAATTTATGTGCAGTGTGATTAATAATAGCTATGGACTCATTGTTGTCATTTTGGTATACTTTTCTTCTGTGGTGTTAAAGATTTCTTTTTTCCTCTTAATTTCTGCACTGAGTTCTTTTTTTATATGGATTTTCTTTTCCTACCACTCGTTGTTGATTTTGTGTTTACTGAGTCTTTTTGCTTTTCTTCTTTATTTTGATGAGTAGATTTATTACTTCTCTTTCTGGTTACCCAGAAGTTTCCCTTAATCCTTTTAAAATTAAAACAGTCTGTTATATATTGAAACTGCCTTGACTTCCTTCCCATATGGAAGTTCTATAATGTCTTTTATTCCTCCTTTTTGTTTTGAAGTTGTCATCATTTACAGCTTAACTCCTCTGGTTACCTGTAGTCAGTTTCTTAGATTTATTTTGCTTTTGGGATGTCTTTGTTTGGGTTGGTATCTGGGTAAGGTTGTTGTATGTCTTTATCTTGAGTTATTGTCTAATGTCATTGGTTCTCTATCTGAAGAACTCTCTTTAATATTTCTTGTAAGACTGGTCTGGTTTTTACGGATTCCCTTAGTTTCTGCTTATCTGTGGATGTCTTAGTTTTGCCATCATTTTTGAAAGACGATGTTGCTGGATATGTGATTCTTGGTTGGCAATTCCTTTCCTTCAGAATTTTATATATGTCATCTCATTGCTTTCTTGCTGCATGGTTTCTGATGAGAAATCAGCACGTAATCTTATTGGAGCCCCTTTGTAAGTGGTATTTCATTTCTCACGAGCCGATTTCAGAATTCTTTCTTTGTCCTTGATTTTGGAAAGTTTGCTTATGATGTGTCTTGGTGATTTTTGTGGGGACTCTATCCTGTATGGGATTCATTGAGCTTCTTGGATGATAACTTTCTTATGTTTCATGATATTTGGGAAGATTTCAGTCAATTCTATCTTCAAAAATTTTCTATGAACTTTTTTTTTCCTCTTCTGGAATTCCTTTTACACAAAATTATTCCTCTTCATGATGTCCCACATGACTCTTAGACTCTCTTCATTTTTCTTTGTCTTTTTTCTGATTGTTCCTCAAACAAATTAGTATCAAGGGTTTTGTCCTCTATTTTGCTGATTCTTTCTTCTATTGATTCAATTCTACTTCTGTATTCTTCCATTGAGTTATCTATTTCCGATATTTTATTGTTAATCATCTGTATTTCCAGTTGTTTTTATACGGTTTCTAATTATCTATCGAGTCTGTCATTTTGTTCTTGTATTGTTTTCCTGAATTATTCTAGGGTTTTGTCCATGTTTTCCTTGATCTCTTTGAGGATTCTTAATATAAGTCTTTTGAACTGCTTCTCAGGTAGTTCTATTATTGTTTCTTCCTTTGGAAAGTTTTCTTTCCCTTTATTTTGCTTACTTGTTCGAGCTATCTTATCCTGTTTTTTCATATGATTTGTTATTCTCTGCTGTCTCTGAGTCATTAAGATGTTATTTTATTTATTGATTGATTGTATGTTTGTTCTGTCATGATTGTTTTGTTTTGTTTTGTTTTGCTATATCAGGGTGAGCCAGGTGGGCGTGCTTCACTGATTGCTGGTCTAGTGGCATGGGCGCACTCACCAGCTCTCACCATTCCACACGGGTGGGACAGTGGCAGGCAGGGAGAGCACACATCACTGTTCACTGGGCATGAGGTGTGGCTGAGTGTGCGCTGGGCAGGTGCAGGCTGCCCCCTGACATCAGTCCAGTGGAGCAGGAACATGTGTTATCACTTGCCAGGTGGGCAGAGTGGCAGGCATGGTGGTTGCAGTGGCCACCAGGGGTGTGGGCGCACTCACTGCTACTCACCCAGTGGCTGGGCGGTGGAGGAGAGGGTATGGAAGGCAACTGGTAGCACAGGAGCACTCACTCCTACCCACGGGGTGGACAGGGCAGCAAACACAAGGTGTAGTAGGCGACCATGGCACGGGAGTGCTCGCTGCCACTTGCCAGGTGGATAGGGTGGTAGGCTGAGAGTGTGGCAGGTAACTGAGTCATGGGATCTCTCTGCAACTTGCTGGGTGGTGTGGTGGGTGACTAGGGGCATGGGATGGGGCGGTTGTGCCGCTAATCACCAGGAAGGCGGGGGGAGGGGGAGCGTGCTTCTCTGGTTACCAAGTGTGGGGGCCTGGGCACTTCCCATTGACTGCAGCCACCAATAGGGATCTGGCCCCAACCAAGTGTGAGGATGGGGAGCTGCCCAGGGTCTGCTCATGTGAGGGACGTCTATGGATCTATTACTCCATGTGTGACCCCCAACCTAATTGTCAGGGACTGCTGGTGCTGAGTAGCCTTGTCTCTGAATCCTGGCTCCCTCCCTGCTCTGTGGATGCCAGGATCCGTGAAACTCCTGTTCTCCTTCCTGTACTTTCCCTCCTTAGATCCGGTTCATATCCTTCTTACCTTGCTTCACTGTGGGTATGTCTACACAGTTTCTCTGTCTCCTGTTAGGAATTCTGTGAAGTTACCCTCCTGTGCTCCTCACCCAGGATTGCTGCTGGCTTTGTCTCAAGATGGCCATACTGTGCCGGGGCAGCTGGCAGGGTACCTCCACTCCTTGTCTCTCCTCGTTTGCTCTTTTCTTTCAGTTTCTTCTTCCAGTCAGTGTTCAATCTAATTCTTTATCCTTCAATTTGATGCTCAGAGTTCCAGGATTGCCATCTGTATCTGTTTCACTTGGTTTCTTGGGTCTTTGCTGCAGAGGTGTCACGGTGTCATCTTGAGTAATTTCCTCTAAAAATACGTTTATTTTGCTACCTGCTCTCATCTTTCATTCCTAACCATACAAGCCATTATCAGTCTCTACATTGTCAAACATATAATAGTTTGATATACCACTGTGTCAAATTGTACATTATCTTATAAAGCCCTTTGGATGCATAATTATATTTAAGAAGTAATCTTTAAAAAGTAGCATAAATTTCATGCTATAACATCAGAAATTAATGCCAAAATTAATGTGGTTAAACAAATGCCAACTAATTTTTTGTTTCCCTCCTTAGTGGTTATGTCTTTGACTATGATTACTACAGAGACGATTTCTACAATCGGTATGTGAATTTTTAATCCTTTTCCCCCTTTGATTTGAATTACTTCTTTTCTTTTTAGCTATTTTGTGCATTCCATTCACAGATATACTTCACTGTTGGGTTTAAAATAATATTTTTAAAGTTAAAATAAAAGAAAATACTAAATCCTAATAAAATATAGATACTTTTCTATTTTCATTAAACTTACTAAAGCATAGTGTAGTGTATAGATCTTAGACTTTTAGGATTTTGGAGGTATTTAAGCTTAAAAATTAGTTTCTAGTATTTAGATAATATTCAAAAGATATAATTAACTCATATTATTTTTCAGGTCTGTTGTTCCCCTAGAATTCTTCAAGATCGTGAAATTTGTAAACTCAGAAAATGACCCCACCTTCTAAAGTACATCTGTTTTCATATGATACTTTTTTGAAAATGCTATATTGGGTAGATTCAGTTGGCTCACAGGCAGTTCTCACTTTGCACAGTAGTACCGAACCCTTAAAGTGACCATGCAAGTTGAAACCATGCAAAATGATCTTTAATGGGAAAAATATGATTTTCTGTATCTGTTAAAATTTTTTGTTGAATATTGAAAACTCTCTTACTGTCAATTATGAATGTATAGGTGTATATATAGGTAAATATATAGTCGATTCCAACTCATAGTGAGCCTATAGGACAGAGTAGAACTGCCCCATAGGGTTTACAAGGAGCAGCTGAGGATTTGAACTGCCAACCTTTTGGTTAGCTGAGCTTGTAACCACTGTGCCACCAGGGCTCCAATAGTTATTTAGTACACTGTAATTTAAAACAGTAGAAATATCAAGAATTGATGTGTTTAATAAACATTTTTCTTTGTTAAAAAAATATCAAAAGTAGTTTGAACAGTGCTTGCCTTCTTTTTGTCATATAATTCATGATATGGAGTGAGGATCTTTTCTGAAAAGTCATGGTAAATTGTCATACTCCTTTCTAAGTTTAAATAAGCTTCCACATTTTATCAATGTCATGAAGTAACTCCAAGAGTTTTTTCAATGTATAGGTGTTTTGCCAGCATCGTTTTCTCTCGGACTTCTCCATCATTTTCATCATAATTACTTTCCTAATTTATGTAGATAAGTTGGCCCTCACTAAGTTCTTCCGGCTATTCATCTAGAGTCTTTCCAGTGGAAGAGTGTCAACATATCCATGGTTAGCTGTGTCTTCTATACCTCCATTTACATTTTATTTGAATTTCACTTCCAGCATTATCACGTTTGGATTCTTTGCTGCAATTTCATCTTTGTTGGCCAGTTCTCTCTTTCAATTATCCATTTTCATAAAATACCACATGGTTTATCACTGGGAGACAAAGAGGCAACACGACTATGTGCTTTCCTGCCTGTGTATGAGCGGAATAATAGATTGCAGCAATCAATCACTGATGTACTGAAAGAAGTGATAGGATTGGTCACTGATCATGGTGCTCATATGTTATTTACATAGTGATCTGTGGACTGGAGAGCTAGCAGCAAAGTTTGGACTTTACAAAGTTACTCACTGTTAAGAATCTGTGATAACTTAAATCTGATCTGTGTTGTTTGGGGCTGGTGTTATTTAAATAAACAGTGGTAATTCAATTTCCCGCACATCATAACCTTGCAAAGCAAGGACTGACTATAGATATATAGGTAGATCATGGGACCAATGTGGTAATGTGGTAAATGTCCTTTTAGCCTTTCTTTCATTATAATTATTATTCAAACAAAAAAATCCCAATGCAAACTTGGAGAAAAAAATTAGTAGACATTTTAAAGTGAGAGGAAACCTCATGATCCCTTGAAACAGTCTTGTTCTCTCTGCCTCAGCCATTCTGTTTTGGTTCCACAAGGACACTGTGCTCTTTCCTGCCTCAGGACTTTTCGTGTTGCTCTCTGTTCCCATACTTTCTTCCACCATCAAGTTACTTGACTTTATCCTTCAGCTCTCAGCATGAACACATTCTCACAGTAAATTAGGCTTCTCTGTTCCCCTCTCTCAGTACCCAGTACTGTTCTTTCACAGCACTTCTAAGTTTGTATGGCTGTATTTCTTTCTGCAGTGACAGTATTTGATTCATGTCTGCCTTCTTTCCCCATGAGGGCAGGAACAACGCTAAATTGTGCTAATGGTTATATCCTCAGGGATTGTCATTAAGTCTCACACATAGAGATACACAATATCTGTTATTAATTCATCTCCTTAGATTTAGAGAGATTGTGATTGTCCCAAGGTCACACAGCTCATTAGTGACAAACCTACAGTCCTAGATATTCATTTAGAGTCAATAACCAACTGTGTGAATATGCAGAACAGAGGGTGAACAGTATCATTATAGTCTATGGCTTTAGATAAAAGGAAGCAGCCTTACCTATGTGGGAATCAGACCTACAACAATATCTCCAATATCACTATGTTCAAACTATAGAATTAAGCAAGTTATTTCACTAGTTATCACTTTAGGGCCAAATATAAAGTTTTAGGAATGATTTTGTCAAATAATTTTTACAATTCCTACAAAATATATTTTATTTTAAATGTTAAATAGCTTGTAATTACTTGTTCTAAAAAGCAATGTAAAGATCTGGTAGCATTAAAATTATCCCATTACCATTGAGATAACATGAAGACATCTTTATACTACTTGAAAATTTTAGTTTTTTGACAATCTGAAAAGACATTTTCCACTATAGCTTTGTTTTTCAGAGTGCAGAACATTGCCCTAATTGCTACGAATTAAATTTTCAATTAATATACATTGTCTTAAGGTCTATCAGCGTTAAACTGTTTTAGCATTGTACTCTTTTCTTAATTGTTTTCTGTCATATGACTTCCTTCAACATTTAAAGAGTTTGCATCTAAAGTGGAGTCTTGTGCTAGAAGGCAGGAGATCCAAGTTCTGGCAACTAAGTTTTGGCAAGTTGGGTTTTCAGTTTTCTTGTCTTTTAGTGGAAGCTGATGTATGCTTTTTCTTGTACGCAAATTATACCTCAATAATGTAGTTAGCTTGATAGATCTATCAATTAAATGTTAGACAGATAAATCTATCAATTAATAAATTGATTGATATGTAGATAAATCTTACCTGCCAAAGAGCAAGGGCCTTAATCAGTCAAATTATTATAGTGCCCCAAGTTTTTATATACGCTTCACTATGCAAAAAAGCTAACTGTGAACAATTTTCAAAAGCATTTATTTGTCTTACATAAAATCTGTGTGGCTTGTAAGTGTGCAGTAGATCAGTGTGGTTGTGTTGCTAACAGCTTGTCTGAGCAGTCTGTGCTCTCATTAATTTATTTTCTATTTTTTGCACTTGGCAAAAAAAAAGACGTAAGCATCTGCTACTAGTGGATATACCCAGGAGATCCCTGTGAACATAGAATCCCATGAAAGGAAACAAAAACGACAGGCTGGACAAGATAAATTGCTTCCAGAGTCACTGCTAACAGTTTTGTCCACAGTAATCCTCTTAAGTTACACTCTGCTTATATTTATGGTTAATATTTTATCTTTTTACTAGTGGTACAAACTTGGGCAAGCTATTTAATATTGCAAACATGCTGTCTCATTGAAAAAATATCATGAAAATAATCCCTACCTCATAAAGTTGTTCTGAGGGTTCAATGAGGTGACGTGTGTTTAGGGATCAGCATCGTGCCGGGCATATTGTAAGTGCTTCATCAGTGCTAGTTGACCAGGTTTCAGCAGAGCTTCCAGACGAAGACAGTCCAGGAAGAAAGGCCTGACTATCTACTTGTGAAAAATCAGCCACTGAAAACCCTACAGAGACAGTTCTACCTTGACACCCATTGGGTCACCATGAGTTGGAATCAACTTGTTGGCAATTGTTTTTTTGGTTTTACTAACAGTGATGGTGAATGTGTTTCTTATAATGATGTTCACATAACCCATTGCAGTGAGTCGATTCTGACTCATAGTGACCCTATGAGCAGAACTGTCCCATAGAGTTTCCCGGGAGCAGCTGGTGGATTCGAAATGCTGACATTTTGGTTAGCAGGCGAGCTTTTAACCACTGCAGCACCAGGGTTCCGATATTCATATAGCAATGTCTATATGACTGAGAAATAAGTTGATAGGTCAGTTGCCCCTCCATAACAGATAGTCCATTGTGAGTTCTCTGGATTATTCTGTTTTTATTGTTCTTTCCTTCTCCTGCTCTCTAGAGCTTTCCAGATGCAGCTAAACACACTTACCGTCACAGAGAGAGCACTCAGTTGTTTCTGTTAAACCCATGCTGATTTGCTTAAACTCTTTATCACTCAGGAGAACAGAAACCACACCAGTTATGCTTAACAGAGATAACTGAATGTAAAATTTGCAAACTAGGTAATTAAGGAACAGAAAAGGCAAAAAGAAAACACTAGTATAAGAGAGAGAGTAAATGCAGGAAGCAGCTACCACATCTAGGACTGGAGGGACAAAGTGAAGACGTTGGGATTATTAAAATGTAGTGCAGAAAAAGGGCTTGCAGAGCTGAGACTATGAGTGGGAGGCTGTGCTCAGCTGATGCTGGTGCTGCTGTATCTGAGCCCATAGGAATCCTGGTGGGCCGGTACCTAGACTTCTGAAGAGGGGCACTGGCAGGCTGGTACTGAGTTTTCTCAGCCATTGTGAAGAGGCTGCACAGCAAATCTGCAAAAACTCAAACTAGACTGAGCTGCAGCCAGGATGGAGAAAATAGGCTGGGAAATGCTGACAGAAGCAGGAAGCCAAAACAAAACAAGGCATAAAACGGGAAGGAGCAAGTCCTTTCTTCCTGCTCCAGCCTCACAGTCTCCTGGGAGGTTGAGTCGAGCAGGGGACCAGCTGGCCCCTCAGAAATGTGGTTTGCAGAGTCCCAAGCCCAGGTATGGCAAAGAGTGGGTCTGAAGCTGAGAGACAATAGCTTAGTAACTGGCACACGTTCACAGCAGATCGTCATCCTGTTTCTTCCAGGTTTTGAGATTTTAATGAATAGGGATTTTTTGACCGTTAGATGT